CTGTTCCCAAAATAATTCAGGGTGGCGACATTCTTCAAGTAAGATGTTGCTTCCCTCTTAGGGAACTTTGTGTTTTGCTTAATAATAGAGATCATTTTCTTACAAGAGTTAGTAATCACGGGACCAAAGTGACAGGACAGCATTTTTAAAAACTCAGAGAAATAGAAACCATTAGCTGTCCCTATCATCAGAATTTTCCCTGTAAATGTTTCCGTATTCAGCTCTTAGAACAATGGTTTCAAATTCAGCCGTACATTAGAGTGTCCTGAGCTTTTAACATAAGTGTCCATCAACAGATGAATGGATAAAGAAGATGTGACACATATATACAATGGAATATTAGCCATAAAAAGAAATGAAATTGAGTTATTTGTAGTGAGGTGGATGGACCTAGAGTCTGTCATACAGAGTGAAGTAAGTCAGGAAGAGAAAAACAAATACCGTATGCTAACACATGTACATGAAATCTAAAAAAAAAAGAAATTGTTCTGATGAACCTAGGGGCAGGACAGGAATAAAGACGCAGACATAGAGAATGGACTTGTGGACATGGGGAGGGGAAAGGGTAAACTGGGACGAAGTGAGAGGGTGGCATGGACATATATACACTACCAAATGTAAAATAGCTAGCTAGTGAGAAACAGCCGCATAGCACAGGGAGATCAGCTCAGTGCTTTGTATCCAACTAGAGGGGTGGGATAGGGAGGGTGGGAGGGAGACGCAAGAGGGAGGAGATATGGGGATATATGTATACGTATAGCTGATTCACTTTGTTATAAAGCAGAAACTAATACACCATTGTAAAGCAATTATACTCCAATAAAGATGTTAAAAAAAAAAAAGAATGTCCTGAGCTTTTAAAAAATACCTATATCTGAATCTCACTGTCAAATAATTGAAGTGACTTTGTAAGGGTAGAATCCAGTGAGTCAGGAATGAGCACCATGGCCTCAGAGGGATATATTTATACTTTATTAAGAGGGTTAATCACAAACAGGGACCAATAGAGTAATAGAAAATACTTGACTTGGCTTCTAGTTAGAATCTTACGTGGGCATTGTGATAACAAAAAAAAAACCCAGAGGAACCTTTGGGAGTTGATTTGTTTGGAGGCTATAAAAAGTGTTTTTAATGGAGATTTTCTTAAAACAAGAACATTATTTAACATAAGGACATCTCAGAAATTACCAAGGCATGCTTTAAGGTAGAACACACCAGATAAAAAATTTAGTGCCTAGTAGGTCATGGCATTAATTACTGTAGTTTCAGAAACTGTATATATAGTTATATATAGAAACTATATATATATATATATATATATAAATTATTTTTGTATTTTTTATGTTTGTATCTCAATTTTTTTCTTAAATTTTCTTTGGAATGTTAATACTAGACCTAGTTACATTTAAAAGAGCAAAAGGAAAAGCATTTTGTTTCAGTTGTGGTTTTTGTTTTTGGATTAACAAAAGGGGACTTTTTTATCTTTGCGGCAATGTGTGCTGATGGCAGGAAGAACCAAACTAAAAAGCCTCAAGACATAGAATGAAGCTTGAGGGTAAAGCATTGAGATTATTACTATGGACCTCTTCTTCCACCAGAGTTTATTTTTCTCTACAAAGCTCACTTTTTTCTCATCCTTAAAGAGTGTTGCTTTTGTTAAAGAGCTGATTCCTTTACATCCTAGCCTGTATTTCCAGGTTTAAAGTCCTGTGCCAGTGAGATAACTAAACAAAATTTTGGGTTGAAAGCCTTTCCCAATCACAGTGAGTACTGAAATTATATTATTATTATTAATCAAATATACATTTTTAACACAGATCCACTGGTACAGGAGTTCAAACAAACTGTATGTTTGCCCCTCTTAAAATACTATAGGCTGATATCAATGATATATTTCCTTATCACTTTCAAAGGCTTAGATCATAAAGTATGATGGAATATCTTCAAACGTTTGCAAATCTATGTTTAATTTTTTTCTGTGAAAGTTAATAGATAATAGATCAATTTAACTCATTCTTCAGGGCCTCTGTTATACGAATTTTCTGTTGTTTAAACAATAAGTAAATTTCTTTATTACAAACACATGTTAAAAGAAAGCCACCCTTTCAGTAAAATATGAATGAGGTAGTTATTCCAACAGATATGAAAACTGGAATCAGGTGGTCTGGGTGCTTTGGCAGAATTTGTAATGGAGGAAATTAGGCTCCGTTTCACGTTTGTTGGTTTAAGCAGTGCAAGCTGCTTCTTTCTAAGCTCTTGCAGTATGTCTCCATTATTAATCGCGGCATGGCAACTGACATTCCTGTCAGATCAACTTCAGAGTGCTGGGTGCTGGTCTACGTCACTCCATGTGAGAATACATTCTGGAATCTACTCTTGAGGTTCCCAGACAAATGCTGAGCATTCTTTTGGAAGTAGCATCCTTCTCCCCCTGAGGGCTTAATCTGTCATTTTTTTCCTAATTTAGTAAAATGCAGCTGCCTTATAGAATAGATTCACTCAGCTGCTCACTCACTCACCCATTCTTTCGATTTTTTTTTTTTTTTTCCCATCCTCTTACTCTGTTCTCAAAACTCTATCAGGCGCTAAGGACATAAAAGATGAAAAAGACAAAGTCCTTGCCTTCAAGTTATTGCAATGTAGCAGAGGAGAAAGACAAAATCAGCCAACTTGCCATATGCAGAGTACTCCTAATTCAGCCAGGAAAAGCAGAGATGGCATCCAAAGAAGGTCATGAGGATTCTGGCTTCAAATGTCAATGAAAGGAAATGAAATACAGGATGGAGAGAAGTAGCCAACCAATAGGTTATGTTTTCAACTGACTCAGTGTTTATCCAAAGCATATGCTCGTATCATTGATATTTTCTTAAAAATCCTCAATATTATTTTCTATTTCTTCTAAAAATAGTTCGTTTCTGGGACTGGCCTATCTTCACTGGGAAAGACTTGCCTGACATACTTTTTGATTCATTCAAGTCCTATAAATAAATTTTGATTCTGGTACAGAAATCTAATTTGTCACACAGGGAAAATAATAATTACATTTTGCTTGTGTATTTTTAATAAAAATTATTTTAAAATTCAAATCAAACTATTGCATTTGTCAAAATTCAAGTGAGTTTACAGCAATTAGAATATATTTTAGAGTATTTTTGACAACTCATCCCAAGTGATTTCTGAAAACAGAACTGCTTTTAGAATGATGTTCCTGTTCTCCACACAGCACTGAAATTGGTAGATATATCACCATGGCATAAAAAAAGCTGAAATTGCATTTCACAGCAATCGCCCTCAATAAAGTCTTTTCTGCATTGGGGTCATATAGGAGGCTAGCGAACAGCTTTATCTTCCCTTCATTTTTATTTACTTTTCTTGCCTTTTCCCCTTTTGTTTCTTAAGGCAGACGTATATGCATGATAACTAAATGCTGTAAAAAGAACATTTTACTGAAAAGAAAGTTAACTGCTTTTAATTTGAGAATTAATTTTTAGTAGTATTAAGCTGTAAAGAGAATGTCATAGGAAGAAATTTTATGTCTTCTAGTTCTTTTGAAAATTCTGTGCAGCACCATAATCACTGGAAAAAGCATGAAATTATAATTAATCTGACCAGCATACTTATAATATATAACTTTTTATTAGTGTTAAAAATAATAAAATCAGCAGACCCAAAGTAAATGGATATACAGTGCTGTTTTTATTATTATTTCCAAAGGTTGAGGTAACTAAAGTTTCATGCATGATGTTGTAAAAATTAAATGATGCACAATAATTTGAAAAATGAGTTTTTCTTATACAAGTTGGCCTTTTCAGCTCTATATTTTTGTTTAGAAGTCTATATCTTTTGGCTGATATTGCTTTAGAATGATCAAGTTTCTGTTTGAATATAGTAATGAGATAGTGTTTTGAGCTTCTCAAAATGAAAGTCTAAGACATAAAGAGATTTAGTTCTGTTTGATTTGACACTTCCTTTCCATTGGCTATTTGGAAATTACATAGACTCTACCTGGTTACTCATTTGAGACATGTGGCATTACCCGGGATCACCCAATCTGTATTTACCTTGAATCAGACATGATCACATATGTATGGAGAGCCCTAGGGGACTAGCTTGCCAAGAGTTCATTTGCATGATGGATTGAGGAGGATTTGGGGAAATAATCCATCCTATAGGAATAGAGAAGCTTGATAGAGTAGGCTATATATAGCACCAGAAGAATGGAGTTCATAGAACAGAAAGAATGACTGCAACAGGAGGCTGGATCAGCCTGATTGATACCTGACCCCAAGAAGAAGCAGAACTGGAAACATCTTCAACAGTCATTGGTTGGAGGCAAAACCAGTAATTCTAGCAGTGGAGGCAGACAGTTTCACAAAGGCTAATCAGAATCCTCAGTGTCTTTCCAGTATTTTCCTAGCAAGTTCATGAATAATATCTTTTGTGGTCAATATCTGTTGTGAGTCAGAAAAGAAAAAAATGGAAAAGGCAGATGCTACTTGGTAAACGCAAGAACCAAGTTCATGTGCAATTGTGAGACCCATTGGTCAACTTCCTGGTACTAGTGTATGTGTGGCAGTGTGGGGGGAGATGATGAGGCAATTTTTTAAGAATAAGAGGTCTTGAAATGCCTTAACTTCCTTTTCCTCTGGAGGTGTGTTGGGGAAGACAAATGAGTAAGATATGATAAGAAAAAGAAGGACAGATTACAAGATTACATGTAAAGCAGATAAAGGAAAAGAACTGCACTTGTCAAACAACAACAAAATGAAACCCAAATTAAAAGTATAAAGACGCAAAGTGTAGTTAAATTAAGCTCCTTTCATCCATTTCACACTTATAGTATTGTCTTCTGAATGAGTTTGTGGAGTCAGCCGAATCTTAGGAAGAAATAACAGAATTAATAGGATAAGGGGGATCACAATAGTGCCTCGCTAGGTATTCAACTGAATTCCTATAACCGATTTTCTTCGGTTTATTATATTTGGAATATTTTTTTCCAGTTTCTTTCCAGCTTTGACGTCTTCCCCAAGCTGCAGACCCACATTCCACTTGTCTTCTGGACACTGCCACCTGAATATCCCACAGGAGTCTCATACTTAACAGTGAGGACTTGTTTTATGACCTTACCATTCTCCCCCAAATTGCTCTGCCTCCTATATTTTGTGGTTGTTGTTAATTATGTCACCATCTATTCAGTCTCTCAAGCAAGGAAAATAGATTTGCCTTTTGCTTCTCCCATACCTTTGGTTCTCATATCCAATATATTGACATCAGTGCCATCATTAATTTCTCAAACCTCACTCCTGCCTTCCTAGCACTGGCCTCATCAAGTCTTCCATAGACTTTTACAGTAACTTCTTATCACAAGACGCTCCCCACTCTAGTCATTAATCTACCTACATTATTACTATAGTCATCTTCCTAAGGACAGGTTTGATCATGTCATTCACCAGCTCCAGAATCTCTTGTTGGCCCCATTGCATGTTGCATAAAGTCCAATCATGGAAGCATTGGAAATAAAACCCTCAGGTACTGGCCTCTCAGTCTCATTCCTACCACTCAGATTCAACCATACTGAACTTCTCACCCTTCCCTGCACAAACCTGGCCCGTTCACAACTATTTTATGCTCTTTTGCTTCAGCTGGAAAAACCTTAGCCATCTTAGTCATCTTTTCAACAGGAGGACAAAAATCACCTTCTCTGGGGAGCCTTTTTGAATGCTTTCCGGCAGGATGACTTTCTTCCCCCCTCTCTGTCCTTTGACACTTTACTTCCTACCTGCAACCTAGCACTTACCATGTTTATGATGATTTCCCTATCTTGGTGTCTGCGTCCATTAGACTGTGAGATCCTGTAGGACAGAGAAGTATCAAAAATTCTCTGTGTCCCCAGAGCCTCACGGGGAGCCTACACAATGGCTACAGAGTAAGTGTTGACTATATGAATGAATAAAAAAGCATAATGAAATGACTAAGTCAGAGGATGGACACTTAGTGTGGCTTCAGAAAGCAGAACAATAGGAGGGCAGGATCTGGCTAAATGCAGAGCAGAACATTCTAAGTGTCAGAGCTCTTTTTAGGAAGTAAAAGTGTCCCTTCTGTAGAAAAGCTCGGAAGTGGTTGACCACTTATGAGTGGTTGGCTAGGGGATTTGTGCATAAAGTAAGGGGTGGCCGTACTGTATGCCTCTAATTCAGTTCAGAAGTTGTGTTATTCTTCATTAGTACACAGTCCTCAGATCATCTGACCATTTCGAGTAATCAGTAATAGCTGAATTTTAACCCTAGCTCTGGAAGCTTATTTCCTATAAATAACTGGGAATGTATTCAGTTGGAACTCAGCTGAGACAGGGAGAGTGGTATATCAAGCAAACACAAATGACACACTGTAATTTTTAGAGGATTGTACATAAAAACCAAAGTATCCTGTTTTTAACCTTGAGAGGAAGTGGGCATTTGCCTTTTGGTACTCTCAGTGCAGGGAGCAACTTCCTCCCACTCCTGCCTTCTAGTTTGGCATTAAGGGACATTGCCCAGTCTGAACTTGGATTGAGTCCAACCCTGTCTCCTTGTGCTAAATTGTAGGTCTAATATCTCTGTGGTTTTATAATAACATAAATCATTATAATGTATTGTTTTTATATAGCACCTTTCTCTAAGGAACATAAAGTGCTGCATGGACGTTATCTCATTAAATCTCACAGTGCACTGGGGACATTGAGAGGATGCAGGTGATATTGTATCCCCTTTGAACCCAGAGTTGAAAAGGAATTGCTTCAACCAAAACTAAATAAAAGCAAGATTGAATAAAAGCAAGATTTATAAGACAATATAAGATTAGAGTTTAAAGAAAGAAATTGTTGGAATTAAAGAGAGATTTAAAAAAAAGGAATTGCTCTGAAAAATGTGAAAGTGTCTAGAGTGTGTTTATAAATATTTGTAGCTAAAAAATTAAAATAATGTATGACACTTTAGAAATTTGAAAAGCAAGGGCTTTTTAAACCATTGGTAATTTTACTGCAATACAGAACAAATTTGGTATATTATCTTCATATCTTTTGCTAGCTTTTTGTTTGGTTTGTTTTTTAATACTGTGTATATGCAAGATTACTCTTAGAATTATAGTGTATATTCAATTTTATATTATGTATTTTTAACTTAACAATATATCATAAAGTTTGCATAGTTTTAATTCTGAGAAGCTTGTATAATTTTCCATGGAATGATATACTGTAATTTGTTTCACTCTTCTATCATAAGATTGTTTCCACTTTTTCACTTTATTGAGTAACAGTAAATTGAAACTCTATCTTTATGCATAAGGATTTTTATATTTTAAATTATTTCCTTAGCAGAAAGATTTCCACATGTAGAATTATCAGATTAATATAGATGTATAAGTATGTTAAAACAAGTCTACATAAACATACTCCAAAATTAACGAATAAGTCAGAAAAAGAAATAGTAAGAAAATAAATCTATCTAAAAGCTTACTATGTTTATAAGTTGGCAAAGCAGCCACTTTAAAAGTGGAAAAGTGAGCAATATTTATCTATGCACAAACAAGTGTTTTGATTTTATTTTCCACCATGTCTATATTTAATTACTTTGATAGTGTGAAACCAGATAGAAAAGAGAAAGTTGACTCTCATAGAAAACACAGATTTGTACCAGATGTAGGAAAGTAGATTTACTTGGATAGAACAGATAATTTCTCTGCCATTTTAATTTACATGGACAAATGTTCTCTGAAAATAATTAGGTATGTGTGCATATAGCAATAAATGAAGTCTCATTTCAAGGAGGTAAATAAGATTGCAGTTTTCTTATTAATTACAGAAGTATTGGGGGAAATGGTATGCACATAGCTGTTTTCAGTGGTGTGTTGTTATAGGGTTATCTGATTTATGCCATAGTCATTTACCAAAGTAATTACCTCAAGACTGAATCAGGAGGGAATAGAAAATATGAACAGACCAATTGCCAATAATGAAATTGAATCATTAATTAAAAAAAAAAACCTCCCAACAAACAGAAGTCCAGGACCAGACATTTACATGTTAGTTCTTCCAAACATTTAGAGAAGAGTCAAACTATTCCAAAAAATTGTAGAGGAAAGAACACCTCTGAACTCTTTCTACAAGGCCGACATCACTCTGATAAAAAAACCAGACAAAGATATCACAAAAAAAGAAAATTATGGGCCAATATCACTGATGAACATAGATACAGAAATCCTCAACAAAATATTAGCAAACCAAATCCAACAATACATTAAAAGGATCATACACTGTGATCAAGTGGGATTTATCCCAGGGATGCAAGGATCTTTCAATATCAACAAATCAGTCAATGTGATACACTACCTTAACAAATTAAAGAATAAAAATCATATGCTCATCTCAATAGATGCAGAAAAGCATTTGACAAAATTCAACATTTATTTATGATAAATCCTCTAAACAAAGTGGGTATAGAGGGAACATACCTTAACCTAATAAAATCCATATATGACAACCTTACAGCTAACATCATAGTCAATGGTGAAAAGCTGAAAGCAGTTCCTGAAGATCAGGAACAAGCTAAAAATGCCCACCCTTGCCACTTTTTATCCAACATAGTATTGGTAGTCCTAGCCACAGTAATGAGACAAGAAAAATAAATTAAAGTAATCAAAATTGGAAAAGAAGTGAAAGTGTCACTGTTTGCAGATGACATGATGCTATACATAGAAAATCCTAAAGACACCAGTAAAAAACTATTAGAACTCACCAATGAATTTGGTAAAATTGCAGGATATAAAATTAATATACAAAAATCTGTTGCATTTCTATACACTAAAAATGAACTATCAGAAAGAAAAATTAAGAAAGTCCCATTCACAATTGCATCAAAAGGGATAAAATTCCTGGGAATAAATCTAACTAAGGAGGTAAAATATCTGTACTTGGAAAACTGATGAAAGATATTGAAAGTGACACAAACAGATGGAAAGATACACTGTGCTTATGGATTGGGAGAATTAATATAGTTAAAATTACCATACTACCCAAGACAATCCACAGAGTAATTGCAATCCTTATCAAAATACCAAGGAACTTTTCACAGAACTAGAACAAATTAGCTTAAGACCTCGAATAGCCAAAACAAGCTTGAGAAAGAAGAACAAAGCTGGAATAAGAACAAAGAGCCTTCCCTGATTTCAAACTATAGTACAAAGCTACAGTAGTGAAAACAGTATGTTACTGGCAGGAAAACAGACATATAGATCAATGGAATAGAATAGACAACCCAGAAATGAATTCACACTTATATGGGCAATTAGTCTATGACAAAGTATGATTTCACTTATACGCAGAATCTAAAAACAAAACAAATGAACAAACATAACTTACAGAAGCAGAGTCATAGATACAGAGAACACATGGAATGATGACTAGACTTATGGTGATCATTTTGAAATGTACAGAAATATGGACTCACTATGTTGTCTGCCAGGAGCAAACATAGCTTTGTAGGTCAACTACACTTCAAAAACAAACAAACAAACAAACATAGAAAAAGAGATCAAATTTGTGACTACCAAAGGTGGGGGATGAGGAGGAATTAGATGAAGGCAGTTAAAAGGTACAAACTCCAGTTACAAGATAAATACATACTAGGGCTGCAGTGTACAACATGATAAAGATAATTAATACTGCTGTACATTATATATGAAATTTGTTAAGAGAGTAAATCCTAGAGTTCTCTTCACAAGGAAAAAGATTTTCTATTTCTTTAGTGTTGAATCTATATGAGGTGTTGGATGTTCACTAAATTTGTGGTAATCAAATCATGACATATGTAAGTCAAATCATTATGTTGTATACCTTAAACTTACGCAGTGCTATATGTCAATTATATCTTAATAAAACTGGGGGAAAAAGTGGACTTGTGAATGATGATCATTAGACAACCTAAAGTTAGATAAACAAAATTATTCACTAGGAAAAGTTCATTTGGTCTGTGTTTAAAACCAGTAACTCCTCAAATTATAGCAAAGGTGAGCAATTTGTATGGCTCCATCTTATTCCTACAGCATGGTGATGATCTACACACTCTCAATAGCCTGTGGTTACTGTGCAAATGGAAGATAGGAAATGATTGGTTAATTCACTTGTTCTCTCAAGGTTTGAATAGAAACTCCCACTGGGGACCTGTTTAATGCCTCTGTTATTATAGTTCCATATTTTCCTGCAAGTACTGTTTAACTTGTTTATTTCCCCTGTAGAGAATGAGTTTCTTGAATTCTGATTTATATCTTTGGTATCCCACAGCCTTGTACAGTTTCTGGCACACTGTAAGCACCTTGTAAATATTGATGGATAATTAAACAATGAATGGTTTGTACTTCCTACTATGTATTTAGAATTATGCTGAGGACTGAGAGAAACATAAAGAAGTGTACCTTCAAGGAGCATATAATCAACACATAAATATAAAAAGTTAATGAACACCATGCAGTAGTATATCATGTAGCTATAACAGAAGATTCCTTGGTGCCAGCACTGAAGAAAATAGCCAAGAAGAGTTACATATACCAAAGACTGTGACATTGCGATGGTTAAGTGAGTGATGGATGGGCATGGCCATGCAAGTTAACCCAGAAGTATCAAGGTCTATTCCCATCATTATGTGATTCATGTCTAAATTACCCACAAGACTATAAGAACCAAGAAATCATAGTGCACATAGGCTTTTGTTCACCATTTTATTGCTAGGACCAAGCAGAGTACCTGGCATAAAGTAGAGAATTGAGCACTTGCTTTGCACAATATTCTCTGTTCTTTGTGTGGCTGGATCAGTCCCATCCTCAGTTCTCAGATCAGGTATCATCTCTTCCAAGATGCCTTCCTGAGTGGTGACTTTGTTATTCTCTTTCTCAGTCTTCAGTTTATTTCCTTCAAAGCACTTATTACTTCTTATTTCATTTAATTGACACTAAGTCTTTCATCTTTTGCTCCTTCTAGACTTAAGCTACTTGAGAGTAGGGACTCTGTTGGTTTGTTTTGGTCCCTGTTGCTTTCATAGCATATATCACAGTACCTGGTACCTTTCACTGGAGAGGTTTTATCTACCAAAAGATCTTCTCTAACCCTATCTAAAGCAGCTTCTGCTAATCAATCATCTTGACTTATTTTCTCTTTAGCACTAATCATTTTCTGAAATTATTCTGTTTGTGTGTTTATGCTACATTCAAACTGTAAACCCCATGAAGTCAGAGCCTAGAACCAGATCTACCTGGTTCCTTACTGTATTGCCGGTGCGGAGGAAAGGGGCTGACACAACCAACTGCCGTGTGTACAAATATTTAGTAACTAAAACATGTGGCATTAATGGAAAAGACAAGATACATTTCTTTTAAAAAAGGCAAAATAAAAAAAACAAAGAGGGGGATTAGCTTTCAGCCAGGATAGCAAAACAAGTGTTAGCTTAGAAATGGTGGTGGTGGAAGCAAGGTCTACTTTTAATGGAAAGTAACGTCTGTAGAAATCACAGAGTGGGGAGGAGGGAAAAGAAACAAACAATTGTGGCCAACTCATTGGCTCCCTTAGGGCTCAATGTGGGAGACAATAAAACAACAACAACAAGGAAAAACCAATGGTTAAACTAAGACAGTAATAGGTCATTTAGAGGCAGGACATGCTAAATTCCTACTCACCTTCCTGAGTGTGGTATAAAGAACACCGGGTATGAGGCTGGGAAGACCTGGGTTTGACTCCTACTCTTCCACTTATTACCTGTATGATAGTGGGTAAGTCTGGTACCTTCTCTGAACCTGGGTTTCCATAACTGCAAAATGGGAAAAAGAAAACCTACTTCATACCATTGTTTTAAAGATAAAA